CCCCCTCGGGTAGTAGTGCCCCCCCTCCCCCCTTCCGGAATCGTCCGCCGCGGAATTGGAATGTTACGAAATATATGAATCTTTCATCGTCATATAACCATTCGATTGGGTGATCATTTAGTGCCTTTCTTATGCATTGTACCGCAGCATGTAATTCATCATTGTCCAATGGGTTTTGTAAGGTTTCTCTATGGTGGGAATAGATATAATGAAGCTATCGCGCTTACGATAAAAGGCCCACTTCGTTCTGGCCTAACGAACATTGTAATATTGCTTCTTCTATTCCATTCATATTCCCACAAGATTTTTTCAATGTATAGATTAAGATTCCAAGCCTTTGCGAGTATCCCGCAGGTACCATGCTCGGCCTTATCACCTTCTTCTTCTCCACATTATCTTGTATTTTAATCGATTTTTTCTAATCAAATATTAAATGTCAAAATGATCTAATATTACCATACTTGTCTTCGAAAACCACTGATCAAGCAAACCACCGGATTCTGCAGCTATCCTGATCTTCCATTCCATTTCCGGCGACAGTTCTGCGGTGTACACAGATTCGCATGGCAAATCCAAGTAAGATACAACGCTAGTAGTTCTAAGTTGAAGATATTTTACGGCCTCGCGAGTATCTAGCGGTAATACTTCTCCTCGAACCTCCTTAGTAGACACCGGATCTCCGGTGGTAGCAACCCAGAACAATGGGTAATACTTAGAACTTGCAGCTTTGGTCTGAGCCACCTTTGGAGGCGGAGCTTTTTTTTTCGGCGCAGCTTTCCTCTTGACAACCGCCTTCGCGGAGTCGTTTCCAAACAACGGATCTATCGCCGCTTTAATACTACAGCACGTCATATTACTTCACTGGGTGCCGTTTTACCGATTTACAGCGGCAGCATCCGAACCAATCACTTCATTCACTACTTTGAGCAAAACTACAAACTACAATCAACACCAATTAACTTAATATCACTCTTATTACTGCTTCAGATAGGACAGCTTGATTGCATTGCTGGGCTTTGCGCTCATACTGAGTAACGTTAAGAATCATCGAATTTATTGCGCGATCGATATCGTTCGATACAAACACACGCACTTTTTGGGCAGCGCCGGATGAAGCTATTTTTGTTAGGTGTTATTGCTTCGGCTGCAGCTGCATCAGAGGACGAATCTGGTTATCAAATTGTTGACTATGAATTCGACGATGCTACGGAGGACGAAAGGTCCTTGGAAGGGACCGGACTTATAGCTGATGTATCAGGAATGGACCTTGTGCTGTCAACGGCGATCAACCAGGCGGTGTCTTCCACCCTGGTCCCTGTTGTAGGACTAGCAGGCGGTTTTGCTAGGAGCGCTGTTGCTTTCTGCGGCAGTTTGTCGGCACTGAAACCAGATGCGATGTTGCCTGCCAGTTTCTATGGTACCGTCCTATCGGTCATTCAAGGCTTCGCTGATCCTGTGACGGGCCGCGTTACCACTCCCGTGTCCATGGATGCATTTTTGGAACGGTTGAGGCTCGCCTTGGCTGAGCAATCCGTTGTGGATTTTGACAGCTTCAAGCGCGTCGTGGATAATTTGAAAAAGATTGTGATCCTGTATCCTTTCGTTACAACCGGCGCATACTTGACTTACCTGTCGCAGGTACTGTCAACTATGCAAGCCGTTTTGGCAGCCACCAGCTTGCCCCATCCGACTCTGATGCCGGCGACCATCCCGCTCGCTCCTCACACGCACAGTCTTGGCACCATCCCAGGCGCAGTCATTCCCGCAATTAATATCAGCCCCACCAATCTGAATCCACCGAACGTTGGTTTCACCGGAGCGCTTGATGGCGGAATTCTCGGACAGCTGGTCCATGCCATGGACGCCGTGAAGAATAACGAACTCTTGGCTCATTTGGGCGGCGGCTTCCGACCTGATATAATCATGAACGCTGGCCCCAAACTACTTGGCTTGAATCAATTGAAATCTCCAGTATTCACCGGGATTAATGCTTTGGGTGCTCTCAACGCTATCAAGGCCAGTGCAACGGGCAGTTTATTGTCCCCAATCTTCCATGAAGATGTTCAGGAGGAAGAGGCCCAAGGTCAGAATGCCGAGCCCTCGCCAGATCTCTGGGGCCCAGTTCCGGTTGAAATGGGTTCCGATTCCTTCTGGGACCCCAACTATCTTGATGTTGATATCTCACGGACTGTCGACTTGGATAACGCAGGTGGCAGCCACCCCGTTGATCACGACATTCACCGCCACACAGTCGTTCGACCGAACATCGTCAATGTTGGACCGGCCTACAGCTCCGCTGGTGTGAAGCCATCATCGCCGACCGATCAGCAGCATACTACTCAAGGAGAGGTGCAGAACACCCAGGGACTGAACACCCAGGGACAGAACACACAGGGGCAACAGTACACCACTCAGGGCCAGCTGCACAATACTCAGGGCCAACTGCACAACACACAGAGTCAGTTGCACACGACCACTGGAGCCGACCACACGGTGGGCCGGACTTCGCTGTGGAATCCCGCGACTGGATTGCACTTGACCTACCCGACCATTCCAACTTGGCCAACTGTGGCGCCACAGACTGTCGCTGCCACCCCCGCTGCACCCACGACCGCGCCGGTTGTCTCTCTGCCTCCATTCCACCTGTTGCACAGATTCCAGATCAATCCGAACAACACGGCCTTGGGTCCACTACTTGCGGCAAAGGCCGCTTTTGACAACAAGATCGGACAGATCATGGCACCTATTGTTGCGAACTATGCGGACCAGCCAATATTGGCAAGTCATCCGTGGTTCGTTCAGCACATGCTCGGTCACGCGGTCCCCAATGATCAACCCGCTCCCACAGTGAAGCCGTACCCGCCCACTACCACCAAAGAAGTGGTAGCGCCGGTGACTCAATCTGGACCCATCATCACTGCTCCAAACGGCAGCCCGTACCTCCATCCGTTGTGGGCAGCTTCGCACCCTGGCGGACTTGTGCATCCTAGTGGTCTTGTGCATCCAGGGCTTGCGCACCCACTTGCTTCGCAGCTGGCGGTTAATGGAACGACTGGATACGTACATCCTCTGATTGGTTCGCATGTCGGAGTGGCGGGTTCCCTTCATCCACTGGCTGCTCAAATGGCCACAAACGGAACCTGGGTACATCCTCTGGCTGCTGCAGCCACGGGCGTCAACGGCTTTGTCCCCCCCGTCCTCATGCACCCTGTCCATCCAGCGGTCGCCGCGATTCAGAGCAACATTCAGGCGAATGGCGGCGCGATTCATCCTGTGATGGCAGCCCGCCTTAACAACGGAGTGACGCACCCGTCTTTGCTAAGGGCACAGGCGATGGCTAACGCACTGCAATTAAATGAAGGCGATGAAACACCCGCAAGTGAAAGTGAGGAATTTATTTGGAGTCTTCCTGATGCATCCGTTTATTTTCTTCAGCGGCTTGACCTTATGAGACCTGCGAGAATGGCTCCTGCTACCTTCTTGCAGAGGATCAACAAGACCATCCAAAGCATTGATGCATCCGGTGCTCTGTCGCTGGTGACGCCGAGGCAGTTCGTCCTTGCAGTCGCCGAGGCGGTTGAAGAAATTAAAGAAGAACTGAGTGAACAGCAATTGATAAATGTGAGCTTACGCGTGGATGAGGCATTGAAGGGACCGTTCCCGCCTTTCCCGAACATCTTGGGCCACATCCATAATGTCGTATCAGAGAAGCTCGGAGCTTAATGCTTATTTTTTGAATTAACGGCAACAGACAAGAATTGTTTGTTAACAATGGTCTAGCTATCTATTTTGATTCTCTTGTTTTGTTCAGGTTGGTTTTCTGAGTAGATAGTCCTTTTGTTGGACAAGTCTTCGAAAATGTCAGGCATGAATTCGTTGATGGTTTTCATAGCGTTGGCCGCGAAAGCGTTAGGTACGTAGGGGGTGGCAGAGCCGACGGAGAGGTTGACCCTGAGTTGGTTGTTGTAGAGGTCTTTTCTGGCGCGTATGATGAAGGTGTAACGTTTCCAGATGGGTGCATATTCGCAGATTTCCTTGATGTTCATGTCTTGGTTGCCTTCATCGATCATTTCTTTCATTTGTTGGGGCATTTTGCCTAGGAGTACTTGCGCGACATCGGAGAAGACGCGTACGTTGACGTTGGAGGCTGATTCGTCTGAGAGCGCGACGCTGAGACTCATTTTGGGAGTGGACTGGGTGCCTTGGCAGCTTGGGCAGGCACCGGCGTCGGATATTTTTTTGTTGCATTGGATGCAGGCGAGGTAGATGAGGTTGAGTTTTTGGTCTTCGCGCGGGTTTCTGTACATCACGTTGGATATGAACGCGTGTATTTTGAATATGAGTCCTTCGTCGGGGAGGCCTTCGGCTATCCGGGAGTGCATGCCCTGTAGGTCTGTCTCCAGAGTGTTGCTGCCGAAGCCCTGGCGGCCGGTCATAGGGAAGGAGATGTGTGTGAAGTCGGTGGCGCTGGCGTGTTGCAAGTACCACTGCCGCAGTTGGTCGGTGTCGGGGTGCTGGTTGACTGTGATTTCTGATGACCTGACCGTCGACGCTTGTTTGCCCAGGCTGCTGGCCTCGGAGGCGTTGGGGCCCCGTGGTTTGCTTTCCTTTACCTGTAGGCCAGAAACGGCGATTACGTCGCCGACCTCGCACACCGTATCCGAAGCCAAATGCCCCCACACCGAAATTTCCATTTGGTACTGAGTGGTGTCCACGACCTGGATCGTTCGCACGTCCGTTGTCTCGCCTGTCCGAACCTGCACCGACCGGACTGGTTGCATCTCGTGCACTATTGCTACTAAGTTACAAATGAAGGGAAGTCTTTTGGTACTCAGCTCAATCGATCGAAGATTCGTATACACGATATTCCGCTCCGTCGGAATACTTTCCTCATTCTCAGCCTCATTCAATTCACACTCCGACGTGTCGAAACTCAGCTCGTAGTTGTGCTCAATACCATTCGAAAACCGCTTGTTGGCTACCACGATCTTCCCTTTACTCATCACATACACCTATAACGACCTCATTTCAGCGCTCTGTGGTGTGTATTCTCGTTCTGTGCGCTCCGTCTTGTGCTTCTGTGCGTTTCGTGTTCTGCTTTTCTCATTTTGTGTTTGTCGATTGTGAGCGCTCCACACCCTGTGAGCGCTCCACACACTGTGAGCGCTCCACACACTGTGAGCGCTCAGTGTGTGGAGGATGTATTCTTACATGTCCTTTTTGCAGAGGTTCGAAGCATTTGTCGGCAGCTGAATTCCAGAACTTGCAATTCATTTGGGTGCCTTCCGAGTCAACGATAGTGCAGCTGAACACGGATCCTGGTTTATTAGTACGCTTGTTTTGAAAGGTAGTGAGGGGTGTTTTGTCGACTACACGGACCTTGATCTGAAACCTGGGTGTGTATGAATTAAGTGTCTTAAGTAATGCATATTCATTGGCTGCGATCGAAGGCCTCTTCATGGCTGTTAATTTGGTGCAATGTTCGATGGCTGAGTTTAAGCCGCGCGAATTTTATTATCACTCTTGTGAAGCGGCAGCTAGTGCCCGAGAGCGCACCACACTCCCTTTGCACTATTATTTGAAGCGTGGGGATATTATCGCCTTTAGGAGAGAGTTGCGAAATGGTTCATCTCCATTTGTTCAAGATCAATATGGCCATAATGCTCTAGATCTAGTGTTGACAGAGATTGAGAAGTTGTTGGTGACTGGTATTTGTACAAGCTTTCCTATTGATGATCTCATATCAGCCATCAAAACAGAGGCTCTACTCCCAGCCAAGTTTTGTATTGAGGATAAGGACGAATTATACCACGGACTCTACGCTCAACATGAAAGAGCTTTATACCGAAGTTTCGCTGATGGTAACCCCGAATTTGTCAAGCCAAAACACGAACGAGAACGAGTTTTGCCTTTACTACATCAAGGCTACCCACTTTGCCATCAGGTTCGACCACCCCACCCTGATACGATAGGACCAGATGGACCTTTTAAGAAAATAATTATGGATTCTACAGAACGTATAGATGATCGAGAGGATGATAGGTACTCAGACCATAGGTCTCATAAGAAGCGAAAGGGCCATCGCCATGGTGGGAGAGACCACGACTCGAGAGACTACGACCATGATTCTGTGGATAATTTGGAAACGGATGCTTCGAAAGAGGACATGAACCGGCCTGACGGGGATATGTCGCCCGAGAATGCTGTTATGATTGCGGTGGCCGACTCTCTGTCACGTCCTTTATCGAATAAGATACGATTAAGATTAGAGAAGATGATTCGAAAGTTGCGTGTATACTTGGACCTGTTATTAGAATTGTCGAGTTCAAATGCTTTGCTGAAAGCGTCTATGGATCGACGAGAAATGGAACAGGATCTGATCAACAAGCATGAAGCTGGAGAAAGTGGTGGAGATCGTAAAGCGGTAAAGAGTGGTGTTTTGGTTGACTTGACTCTGCCGTATTTGTACGTGACATTGATTCGGTTATTACTCGAGATATATCCTTGCGCTCCTGATGGCGTGGAATGGCGAGCAACCTCACCCACTGACATCCGTGTGCTATGTGGCATGATCTGTAGACTCGAATTGGCCGGCCACTACATCATCTTGTTCCTTAGCGATTTCGCGTCAGGCATGGCGAAACTGCTACTTACTGTACTAAGACCACCGGTCTCCAACACCGATCTGTTCGCGCCCAAACATATGGTCCTACAGTATCTCATGCACATGGCCTTTGTCCTGGATGTACCAGAATTGTTCGACATCATTGCCAATTCTTCGCAAGCACATAAACTCATGCAAAATAACCCCTTCGATTGGAACTCCACTTACGAAGACCTCCAAGCCGGACCTAAAACTGATGTGATACAACGGTATATAATACTCCTGCAAAAACTGTTGGATACCTGACCACTTATCTGACCAACGGCGATCCGAGACCCCACGGTCCAACGGCGGTCCGAGACCCCACGATCCAACGGCGGTCCGAGACCCAACGGTCAAACGGCGGTCCGAGACCCCACGGTCTAGAGTTCCGTGTCTTTAGTCCAGTGGCTAAGTATGTCGGCCATTATTTGGGATTGGCGAGTGCGTTCTTTGGCGGCTGCTTGGGTGGCGAGGTCGTCCTGGTTCTTATCGCCGAAGCGGATGTAGGCGATAACGGCCTTGGTGACATTGACGAGTTTCGTCACGGCGCCGGCGCAATTGTTGGCTGTGTCGGGGACGGGTGGGACACATCGGTAGCGGTCTAGGAACTCGAGGAGGATGGCGTAACCAAGTTCATAAGTCTCATGTCCTACGTCGTCACCCACTGCGTAATACACTGCGTCCATGACAGCGTCCACATGACCGGCGACAGAAGGCGCGCGGTCCCGGACCAGGGTTTTCAGCAAGCGTAGTGCGCGTAAGCGCACCTGCAACGCCGTATCCGTCTTGATTGTCTGTCCACCACCCATGTCCAACACCTTCACGAAACTTTCCTTCGACTTGGCGATATGACACAACTGCTCCACCGACAAACCACTGACAGCCAAACGGGACACACCAGCTTCCATCTCTCGCAACGCCGCCTCCATCTCTTCCACCGTGGCCCAGTCCGGACCCTCGCCCATGGTCGCGTTCGATACCAACCCGGCCGGGACATTGGTCATACTGTGTTCGCCTACACACTTGTCCGTACCACTTGCATCCGTACCACTTGCATCCGTACCACTTGCATCCGTACCACTTGTTGGGCCACTGAAAATCGGCAGTACATCCTTCCGGTCCCAGATCGTCTGGAATTCTTGAGAGAGGTCGCTGTGAGGCACGGATATGTTCGTCCGAACGGCGTGTATCGTAGTTTGAGCATTTCTTGACAACTTATTCATCGGTGTGTGTTTCAGAATATTGAGAAGTTCCATTAGGTATGGAAGGAAACTTTCTTCGCCGCAAACTTCGTAGGGCTCCTCTTCATACTCCATTTCAAAGTCATATTCCTCTCCGTCAGCCGGTGTTGTTCCCACGGTTGTTTTATCGTTGGCTTTAGTTCGTGCGTCAATTTGCAGGATTCTTTGTGCCAGCATTGCGGCATAAGTGTCGATAGTAGTCATGACTGTCTCGTCTCTCATATAGTAGGTGGAAAGCAAGCTGGCAATCCCTTCCAACATGGTCGCGTCCACCTCCTCCACCACGGTTGTAGTAGTCGAGTCCAGGACGCCGTCTGGCGTGCTGGAGGTGGGACTTAGTGGGGCCTCTGCACACACCATCTCATGTGCACCGTCTTGGACCCGGTACTGGTCCAAGTACTGGTTGGAAATTCTAGTGATAACCTCGACAACTGCATCTCGAACAATTTGCCATTGTCGGAAAGTCACATTATGGTCGGTTATAGATTTGTTGAACCTAGGACTTATGTTGGATAGGAAAGCCAATCGGCGATCCAAAGGAGACTCTATAACTGGGATGAGACGTACAACAGTCTGGGGAGGGACAAGCTTGCTTAGACTCAACAGCATCTTAAACAAGTAAGAGTGCTGGGGATACTTCTTGTAGTCTTCAAGTGCGCTCGTGTACAAGGACAATGTCGCACCAGAATCAGGACAACTTAAGCTGTCCACGGTGGCAGCCAAGTTGTTCATTACACTCTCTACCACCACGGGCCTCGTTTCTATCTCCTTCCTCATTGCCATATATATCGGTTTCACATAACGACCGATTAAAGCCGAATGCTGCTCATTCCGACTAGCTATCACTGCCGCCACACGATTCATGAGCATATCCGCCAAGCTGTCCTTCTGGGCCTTGTCCGTACTCAACAATATTTCACACAAAAAGTTACTAGTAGACGGTAGACACTAAAGCGGACGTCGAATCACAGAGATTAGGGCAATGGGGTTTAGGGTTTAGGGTTTAGGACCATAGGTTAACACCACCGGACATAGGTTAATACCACCGGACATAGGTTAATACCACCGGATCGGTGACAAGTGACGGGGTGAGCAAGTTCAACCACCTTGGGTTAGATTACAGGCAAATCAGCTTTGGCTGCTTGAATGATGAATTCTGTTGCTGCTTCAAGAGCTGCCGCCCTTACATCAACGGTGAATTCTTCTTTGAACGAATATTTTAAAGCGGTCATCAATTCATTCATAGGCACACTTTGACCTGATGCCAATAGTCGCGCTAAATCCTTATAAGCCATACATCGATGATCCTAGAGCAAATTTGTTGTATGGTGTTGTTTGGTTACTTTGTCTTTATGTTCTGTGCATGTTTTGATTAATCCCAGTCCCATTGTTATAAAATTTGTATACTGATATCGATGTGCTGATCAGCGTCGATGTAAGAGTCAGAGAGGCAATATATTCTTGCATCGAACGTGTGCGGCGATCGAAGCGCATCTGGAATATTATCGAGCGAAATACTGATTTTCGTCTCTGTACCCTTCATGAATACCTTTTGGATGCCCAGGACTCGGTTCTCAGAAGGTATTCCGACAATCACCCACCATTGTTCCTGCTTTTCGATGGGGAAATATGGGGCCCGAACTGGTCCGACAATTTCGTCCTCATCCAGGTCTCTTTGTATGGTAATGTTGACAACAGGCGCTGTATCGTTGGTTGTTATTCTAAGAGTCAGAATATCCGAAGCTGATGTATCCCCCGAAGCTGATGTATCGAGGTTGATTACAATAACTGGTAGAGCATTGCAACAGTCGGCGATATCGGCAATTTGGTCTTGAGAGAAATTAACCTGGTTGAAGAATTCATTTCTGACGTCATCCTCAATTGCGAGCAAGTCCGACGCTGCAATGATTTTATGTTTGGCAGCAACCTTGATTTCATTCGCACTAAAGTACGGTAATTGGAGCAAGCTTGATTGTCGAATCAACATGCCTTGTGTGATCATCTGGCATAGTTCAGCAGTAGCCAAAATGGGATGTAGCCACTGTGAGGAGCTTAAAATGTCAACCAAAGCATGGCATGACCGTTCAGCGAACGCCAGCAAATCGGTCAAATCCTTTTGCAGATCTGGCGTAAGAGGAGCTCTATGTAGATGGGCGGTCAGTAGAATAGTAGCCTTAATTTGTGGGTCATTGAAATCGATTGCGGATCCAGTATCCTGTATCCGCGATATTTCCAGCTCTGACCAGAGCTGTTTCAGTAACTCAGATTCGCTTTGTCTTATTTGTACAGAATCACGTACTTCTTGAGAAGAAGTGATGGCCATTAATAACTGCTTGTGTTTACTGTTCGTTGTTGTAAGCTTGACGAAGCCTTCAATAGTTCCTGCTCGAAGCGCATAAAACACAGCAATTAGACCTAGATTTGTTGTACTTAATGTAATATCATCATCTTCCACCCTAATACAACCTGCGTTCTGCAAGTTATCGCACGCTTTCTCAACCATTTCCGAAACGTATTCCGAAACTAACTCCGGCTTTACATCCCTCAGTCCATAGTAATTCGGGTTCTTGAACAGCCGTCGGTACGCGAAGGTCCACGTCAGCCAATCTATCGACTCTTGCTTATTCGTAATGGTGCCCGTTACTATTTCAGATAACACGTGATCCGCCAGAAACAAATCTACATTTGACTCCAAAGGCAAAGGCTCAAAGATAGACCTCCGAATTTCCTCGTGCTTCGACGGCTTACAAATAATCAAGGCGTTGCAAACATCCAAGCTATCTGTTTCTTGTTGCTCAATGTTCGCTAGACCTAATATGCGCATCAACATTTCTGGCTTATAATGAGCCCGCTTCTGACCATTCCAGTACTCCGTATCCTGTACTATTACCAACTGACAACTTATATGCAATTCGTACACCACAGGATATGTTATGGCCAGCACCTGGACCATTCTATTGCGATACATACATATTACCAATGACTTCTCCAACTCAGTCATGCCTTCATGCAATAATCCGACTCCGAAACATAGGATATCTAATAAAACACGTTCGCGAACTAATTCCCGATTTATCTTGTCTTCCTGCTGCCCTGCACTCTGCTGCCCTGCACTCTGCTGCCCTGCACTCTGCTGCCCTGCACTCTGCTGTCCTGCACTCTGCTGCCCTGCACTCTGCTGCCCTGCACTCTGCTGCCCTCCTTCCTGTTTCCCTGCACTCTGGTGCCCTGTTTGTTGTTTCCATTGTTTGATGTGTTCCTGTATGAAGCGCTCAATGCTGCTTTGGTCAAACTCTCGTCGGTACTTGGTAGGCCGGCCTTCTGCGGCGGCGTGGAGCAGAATTTCCACACAGATCTGTCTTGCCTCTTTTCGGTCGGTGCTCACAACAATTATTTGATTCGTTTGCGCGCGTCGGATCGCATGTGCTATAATGCTGTAGGACGCCGCTAGCCGTCGCGCGCGGTCCGGAATATCGATGCGGTTGATCGACAGATCTAGCGCAGTCGCTCGGACGGTAGGATGGAAATTAAAACAGTTAGCCGCACTTACACCCAGCCAGTCAGCCACATCAGCGGCATCCGCAATGGGTGCTCCAAAGGCGGCAATTCGCAGCCTTGGCAGTTTGGCCGCAGTCGTTTCGTCAGTTGCTTGAGCGTTGGCCTTCAGCAGCTCAGACATAAGCCTCATTCGCGCAATACCAATCTCCAAGTAACTACCAATTTTGGAGTCAGCAATTAGCTCGATCGATTCGACTATAAGCAACTGGATCTTTTGCAAAGCTTTTCGTACCCTCCAGCGCCTTGATACAGCTTCCCAATGGTCCGCTCTGGCAACTACAATGTGCGATTTCGCCAATAAGCGTGCATCCGCCCCCAGATTACCTTGTAGGCGATTAACCGTCAATCCTAAACCGCCTTCGAAACGTTCCTTCCACCAAGTGTACTTAGAGGCTGTGGTCGATTCTAATGGTGATACACATACACACAATGGTTGAGTCGACTCTGTGCACATCCGTAGAATAGTCAGCTCCTGTAAAGTGTTACGTCCGCTAGTCGGAGGAGCGCAGATAAGGATGTTTTCATCGCTATTATATACGGCGCCAAACACCTGTGATTGTAGAGGGCCAAAGTATCTTTGATTTTTGAACAACTTTTCTGTCGCCTCAGGGAAGTTGATTCCAGAAGTCGGTGTCGGTTGCATCCCAAGGAAGTCTGTGGGGGTAGAGTTCTTTGCAGGGATGATTAGATCTCGAAATGAGACGGGAAACACGCGTTCGGAGCCTATCCATTTGTCGCTAATTACTTTGATAAAGTAATTCGGGCTTCTGGGCTCATCCAGAGGAACTGTAAAGGTCATCTGATGCTCTAAATCTACCTCAGATCCGCGTAAAATAAAGGTGTCCGCGAATAATATTTTGGAGCAATCGCAGTTCTCAACAAATATCCAAAACATTTCCGCGCTTTTATGGACCTTCCGGTTCCACTCAAAGCCAGCCAATATTGTAAGGTCAATCTGTACAAGTGATGTAGTCAAAGGTAGAACAAAGCACTCAACATTCAGTCGCGGAAATCTAGCGAGCATTTGATGTACTCGTTTGCCCAGCGCCTGATTCTTAAGAAGCTCTCCTAGCTCGCCTTCGGTGAGTGTAAAGTACCGTTCCCATGCGATATCCCGAGCTTCGAATCGTCGTAGGTCTGCTAGCGAAAGGACGCCAAACTGCCTCAGAGGTGACATAGATCCCCACATTCTTCGGTCGACGACTTTGGAATAATGTAGGGCTAGCTCAGCTGTTTTCGCCCAGTTTCTTCGCAATGCTATTTCGAATATAGCCCTCATTATGCGAGCGGCATTTTGGGCAACCAATGCCATGTCGGCTTGTAATGCAAAACCGTCGAGCTTTAGACAGCTGATGAATGATTGTAACAGGACGTTAATCTTGGTGCTAGATTCTGTTAATTGACCTTTTATAGGCACGGGTACCTTTTCTACACATTTGGCTAACTCTGTCTTTTCTTCGGGGCGAACGGGCACGCGTTGGAATTCGGAAGCCAATGAGAAAATTCTAAACAGTTCTATATCATTAACTTCCGGCGTTAAAGATTTATTTAACGCGGCAACAGTGGCTGGTCGAAGATAGTATACGGAAGCCGCTTTACCAAGTGCGGTTGTTTGTACCTTGCCGCTGACTTTATCGTAATTAACCAGTCGTAGTGAGTCTAGCAGTACTAGAGCTGCATGAACCAAGTCCAGGCGTCTTTGTGGCAGTGTTATGGTGTCGCTTTTGGGTACTTTGTACAAGTGGGGCGCTCTGGTCATGCGGATAAATAAGTAGGTATATAGAAGCCAATGAGCGGCTTCAACTCGGTGTCTGATATTTCCTAGTACAACTTCTGCATTGATCAGTTCTGGTAAGGCCCCCATCATCTGTGATTCGACCGGCAGTTGTTGTGTGGTTAAGCTAACGTAATATTGGAGTTGCGATTGCTGGGTTATAATAATCCCTTGGCCAAAACGGTCGTATGGAGGACGTCCCGCTCTACCCATCATTTGAACCACGTCCAACGGCGGCAGTTCTGTCCACTTTCCCAAATCCGGGGAATATATCTGAGTGCCCTTGATGATTACTGCGTGTGCTGGTAAATTAACACCCCAAGCCAATGTAGCCGTTGATACAAGTACCTGTATGTGTCGATCTGCGAATAAATCCTCCACCAATCGTCGGTCCGATCGTTGCATACCCGCATGATGTATTGCGAACCCGGCAGGAAGTAAATCCTTTAAATCATTTGATATCACATTGCCGGCTTCAGATGCTAGAATTTCCTTGGTTGCAGACTCTTCGGAAAAGAACCTAACAATAGAACCATCTTCGAAACATTTGTCGCGCAAATACTTCGCTGTTCGCGCAGTTTCTTTGCGACTATGGCAGAAAATAAGAACCTGATGTCTACCAGCAAATTCCATCATGCGTTCATGACATACTTGATTCATAGCGTCATACCGCTTCAAAGAACTCTTAGTCTTGATACCAACAAAGCTCTGGCGTAAGGGCACCGGTCTATACTCAGGACCGAAAACAAACAACCCCTCATCCAAAGGCACACGAAGAAAGGCAGCCACATCTTCACTATTTGGCAACGTTGCCGATAACCCGACCAACCGAATCACTTGTCCACTGTTTTCGTATTGTCGGAATGCTCTTGATACCAAAGCCTCCAACACCGGCCCGCGCTTGTCATGTAACAAATGCACCTCGTCGAATATCATCAACTTGACCAATTGCGTGTAACTCCGCTCTCCTGCCCGACGAGTTATCACGTCCCACTTCTCCGGCGTTGTCACAATGATCTGCGTCTCATTAATCTCCGCTTGCGACAGGTTAATATCACCCGTCAATTCGCGGACCCGAAGACCAAGCCCCAATGAATCCAAACGCTTCTGGAACCCAGACACCTGCTCCGCTACCAAGGCCTTCATAGGAGACACATACACGATCTTAAAACGGTTCAAGTCGCACACGTAACCACCCGACGCACCTTCCGACCCAGCTGTAGTGCCGGTAGCAGATGTAGTGCCGGTAGCAGATGTAGTGCCGGTAGCTGATGTAGTGCCGGTAGCTGATGTAGTGCCGGTAGCAAATGTAGTGCCGGCGCCAGAACTAGTAGCCGGGGCCCTGATGTTCGAACCACCGATCTTCTTTACATAGCGATTGATCACTTCCAATATGCACATCATTGCAATATTGGTCTTACCCGCACCCGTAGGGGCGCAGATAAGCATGTTCACGTCCGGTTTTTTGGCCGCTACGTCGCTGACGACTGACTGGATAGCATTGAGTCTTTGCACTTTGACGCTGTGGAAACAGGGGAGGGCCCAGGACGGGAGTACATCGTCAACGTTCTTCAGTTTCTCCGTCCCTGGTCCCTTGTCATGATGTGGAATAATAATCTCTTCATACTCTTTAGCGGTTACCCGTTCCGTGCCCTGGGGTAATTTTACTTCGTCTACGCCCAGCAGCTTGTCTTCTACCGGGAAAGAAAGGCTTTCCAAGTCTAGGAGGTCTACGCTGGGTTGCAGGTGGGCCAATTCCGGGTCCGTTGCGACTTCCGTCTGGACGCCACTCGGTACGGAAGCTAGGGTGCCAGAGGCCGTACCAGAGGCGGACAGAGTAGTCATTTCATTTTGTCTAGTAACTTCCGCAGCTTCCACTTCCGCCGCTTCGGCAAAGACCCGTTCCTTGTCCTGGACGACTTCGCTTGCAGCAATTTCCTCCAGCACCTGTCGGCCCATAGTGCTCGTGCTCATGGTGGTTTCGATGGCCTTACGCTCAGCCACAGTCTGGGCCTGTCCTAGACGAGTTAGGTAGACGACCCTCCACCTATTGTGGAGTAGTTGCACAATAAAGTCAAAATGATCTAAGCCGATGCAGTCAACCAATGCCGCCTCGCATTCCTGAAGGTCAGGTATGGTGAGTTTCTGGAGAATCTCCTGTTCCATTGGTATCAGATGAAGGGTAATGTCGGCATCTGAAACGATATTCAGGTCCTTTAACCGTCCTTGCAGCCAATGTGGTGTTATAGCCTGCACGGATAAGGTCTGGTCCTTCCGCGAGTTCATCATAGATATGTCAAGACCTGTGTGCAGAACATCCTCATCAACCACCGCCTTCTCCTCCACTATCACGTCTCCCACCACATCTCCTAGCACCTCTACCTCCTCCTCATCCTCCTCCTCCTCATCGTCGTCATCCCCTTGACTATCGCTTTCAAATACCACTGCCACTGCCTCGTTATCACCCCGTACAGCAGCGCCTGCCGGTGCCTCACCGATTTGCTCCAAAATTGTGTCTAACCGCCGTTTTTTTCTCTGACGACCAACACCTATTTCAGTCCTTAAAGTCACTCCGTCCGTTTCCACCAAACCACGAGAGCGACCCGCTGCTAGCAATTCTCTCGGCAATCCCGCAATCATCGCCTTGTCTCCTAATCGACCACGCAGACGGCCCACCAGACTCTCCGGCTCTCCTGTAGGCTCATTAGTGGAATTAGAAGGCCCTTCACGCTGCAGAACCAAATTGGAATTATTCTTGTACTCAAATTGCTTGAACTGCTCAAACGCTTCAGCCATATCCACTCCAATAGAATTTACCTCCCCCCTCCGATTTTTACGACCCAATAACAACCGCCCCGTGGCCGGCGGTAAGTGCTCGTGGCAACTGACCCACGGGAAATAGCTCAGACGTGTTTTTATCCTCAACCAGTGACCACATTAAACTGGCTTTCGGCTACACCAGCACGATGAGAAATTATGGGGTCTTTATCCCGCTCTCTGAGACCATGGCGGTTAAATAAAGTCGAGAACAAATTACAAGCAGCCGAATTAGCTGGGAAATGAAGTTTGTTAAGCTCATCAAGAACGATTTGGTCGAAATTGAGAACGGAGGAGACTTGGAAAATATTGCTGATAGGTACCTACACTGTCTTCGGTTCATCAAACACAATACATTCCGCGCATTTATTTCGCGCGAAAGGTGTGTGCACACACTTTCTCAAAATGGCCTAAAGAGAATTAATTGCATGCAAGGTTCCTTTAGACTAATGTTCAAGAAGAAGGGCTCTGATGATGTAGTATTTGAAACAAACGCCAAGTATATAATGTTAACGGGTGTGCGCGGGCAATCTGAAACTAACCTCCCTCAAGTTTTCCTAACAGTGGATCCCAGAGTGGATAAAGGTGATGATGAATCTGAGGTGTGGGACAACTTGGAAATTGAGCTTGAGAGTACCGATGAGGCTGAATCGTTGATGAACAAGATAAAGGAGTTGATGAATCAGTACAAGGACGATCTGGAGGGTGGCAGCGGTGACAGCAGCAGCTCTGATAGAGAGGCTGGTACTGGGGACGAATTTCTGAATAGCCTTATGGCCTAGTTTTCGGGAAGGAACATTTCTGGGGGGTGATAATTGTTTTTTTTTCTGAAGCTAGTTTAGCAAAGTTTACGAGGTTTAATGGACAAGTTTAAGCAAGTAAGATTCCTGGGCTCCTTCCCGTTATTGGGGGTTGTATGAGAAGATGTTGTGGATGAGTTAGGCGCAAGAGGTTGTTCGTTTGTCTGTAGGAGTTGAAGGAGAGAAAGCAGGAGGCTTTGTTAGGTTACCTTGGGTCGCTGGAGGAGAAGGACCAGGAGTTGATTCGGAATCAGTTTGAAAAGCAAGGAGTGGAGCATATTTTTGAATCATTTGCGAAAGCCGTTAAGTATAATGAAGGCTTGACTGAGGCTAGTAAGGGGATGGAGATTATTCCTCCGCCCTTGTTGGATCATGCGGAAATCATGAATGGGTTTACTGACCCGAAGGTTCCGGTAAAGACACTGAAAGTGTCGAGCCTACCAGAAAATTTGCGTGACTATTTGCGCGAGGTGGGTGAGTGTGCTTTAAGGAACGGTGAGGTTGCTGTGGTTATTGTTGCTGGTGGTCAAGGTACCCGTCTTGGATACGATGGCCCTAAAGGTGCGTATGTGATGCCTCTTCCTTCGTCTGCAAGTATCTATGAAATTTTGATGAAACGAATCGGTGCTCTGAACAAATTAATGGCGCCAACGGAAGGCGAACAAAAGTGTGTGCCAGTGTATGTGATGGTCTCTCCGCAGAATGAAGCCAAGACCGAGGAGCATTTTAAGGCAAATGATTATTTTGGATTGGATCCTAGGAGTGTGAATTTTTTTGCACAAGCCACCATGCCTTCTTTTGATAAGAATGATGGTTCTGTGCTATTTGAAGACCCTCTCACTCTTACTCAAAACGCAAATGGTAATGGAGGAGTGTTTGCTGCTTTGAAATCCAGTGGCATGCAAGACGACATGGTTAGACGTGGTGTCAAGTACGTACATTTCCATGGTATCGACAACGTGCTGTGCAAGTCTGCGGAACCTCTTTTCATAGGTGCCTGCATTGCGGCTGGTGTCACTGCCGGAAATAAATGTTGTACCAAGTCCGGTCCACATGAGAAGGTTGGCGTTCAAGTCATTAAGAGAGTAGGTGACAAATACTTCCCTTCTGTTGTGGAGTATACTGAACTGAGCTCTGAACAAGCAGAGGAGAAAGATACACAAGGAAACTTGACATACTCAGCAGGCAACATTGTCAACCACTTCTTCCGACTTAGCCACCTACGAGAGATGGATCTCAACTATCACGTGGCCGTCAAGAAGGTACCCTATTATGACTACGCCGGCTCAAAACAATTAGTTACTCCGACAGAACCAAATGCTATCAAAATTGAATACTTCATCTTCGATGCCTTCGAAGCTGCTAACAATCTACTCGTCGTTGAAACAAACAGACCTGAAGAATTCTCCCCCGTCAAAAATGCAACCGGCACCGACTCACCCGATAGCGCAACCAAGGACATCTGCAACCTTCACACACTCTACCTCAAACATGCCGGAATACTTGAGGCAAATGACAACAACTTATACGAGATTGCACCAGGCGAAACCTACGCTGGAGAGGGCCTTACCAAAGCCACCAAATACCAAAAGCTTAACCAAGCTTAGGCGGTCGTAAAACTTGGGACCAAAAGGACTTAACTATTTTTTTCAAATTCTGGATCTCGTATGATGTGCGCTGATCTGTGGCGCGCTACACTACAATAGACTGGGTAGGCCAACGGCACAGTCCGCCTGACGCAAACGTTAGCCGCTGGATGTAAAGCCGTCGGATGTAAAGTTGTTAGATGTAAAGTTGTTAGATGCAAAGACAGTTTAATGTAACGGTAACACAACTCGTCACACAACCCGTAACTTCGTGTCATGCCGTTTGGTTCGGATGAGCCGGCACTGAAGCATGTCCCAGGTCGTGCGTGTTGTCCTAGGTCGCGAAACATCCGTCGCCCCACATTCTTTCAACACTCGATCTTTCGGGGCCCCACAGAGTCACCCCACAGAAGTGAATGGAACTGGGAGACGACGGTCCAGCACAGCCGACGGCTAACGTCTACACGGTAGGGGTCCCAGTCACTCGTTATGAAGATCTCGAGGAGACAGACATAGCCCTAGGCGTCGTGCATCATGCAACCCCTCCTCCCGGCTCCCTATGCGGTCCAGAAACTGTGGAGAGGTTTATTGCGCTCACGCTGGCTTGCATGGCCGCGAGGGTGGTCAGTAGCAGTCTCTCAGGTAAGCGTCAACTGGCATGGATCTCAACATTAATAATAACGGTGACCCTTTGAACAATGAGACCGTTTGGACGGTGAAACCGTTTGGACGGTGAGACCGTTTGGACGGTGAGACCGTTTGGACGGTGAAACCGTTTGGACGGTGAAACCGTTTGGACGGTGAAACCGTTTGGACGGTGAGACCGTTTGAACGGTGAGACCGTTTGACCAACCAATTACTACGATTGGTCGAATGAGCATAGCGTACGACGTGTCTCTTTAGTCGAAGCCCAGAAGGCTCTGGAGACGTCTCCGGCGACTACGTTGGCTGAAGCGCAGTCCCTTATGGTTCTGTTGCAAGCAAAACCACGGCCCCGGGGTCGCCCAAGGAAGCCGAACCTATCGATACAATTACGGCCCCCCGATGGGAGTGATGACGAAGGCGATATTTTGTGACCTCACGCGGGTCACTCCTGTTTCGGAAAGGGAGCGGCCCATTATTTGACAGGTCGTTCGCTGGATGAGTTGCCATTTGGTAGGTTATTCCGTTCATCCTCTAGCCCACCCGGTGAAGGTCAATCTTGGGGATGGAGACTAACTTTTTTAAATGTCAGGTGCTCCGGCTGGCGCCACGGCTCTTCGGGCAGCTTTGGAGGAGGGGCCGGTTGCACGCACTATTCTGCGCTGTCTGGCGTGCCTATCTACGGCGGTGGAAGGCAACGGCGTTGGATTTTACGCGAAGCAGGTGGCCCGCCTAGAGAAGGGCACGAACGCCCCGTCCCAATGGCCGGAAGCCCATTACTCAGAACCAAATTCATCAGAACTCCATGCGGCAGGGGACACCCATCTGCTAAGGGAGTCCCGTGCGCCAGGGGATGCTGAAATCCTACAAGCCTTTCAATGCGTTCCGGTAGCTCTTAGTACGTCTGGGGCGGGCAATGACAGCAATCCTGTGGTATCTTCAAAACGGTCAGAGGAGCTGGCTAAAAAACCGCCCAAGGAGCGGACGAATATAGAACGAAAGGGGTATAGCGACCAAGAGATGAGCGACGACCAAGAGATGAGCGACGACCAAGAGATGAGCGACGACCAAGAGATGAGCGACGACCAAGAAATGAGCGACGACCAAAAGATGAGCGACGACCAAGAAATGAGCGAAAAGGTAACCGAAGATGCGGACGAAGTCACCGCAAGTGGCTCTCAGTCCGGTGCTGAGGAAGTGAAACCAGAAGCCGACATGGACGCAATTGAAGAGAAGTCAGCGACCTCGGAACTTGCTCTAGGACCGGATGAGGATCAGGTGAGTGGTGACGGTCAAGAGAAATGTGACTTAGACTCTTTGGTCTACACATCAACTTCCAGTCCGGTGCTTGATGAGACCTTCAGGGCTTGTCTTCAAGGGGACGACGGTCATATGGCCAGGCTGGAGTTAATTACTGCTCTCCTGGAAATGCAATTCGTTAGAGACCGCCCGGATGTTAGGGCGTGTTTAGTCGCCCTTCTCTGCTACGACCTCAGCTCGAGATGGGCTCTCGCCGGTTGGTCTCTTAGGACCGGAGAAAAGTTAACTTGGCACGAGTGCCCGCTTTTAGAGGATCTTAATCCGACCGATCCTGCGGACATTAGAAAGGCCGGTAGCGAAGGCCTGACTGTCGTGCAGACCACACTAACTCCTAAACAAACTTGGACTGAACTGGACGCTGGGCTCAAGTGCTTATGGAGTGCTGTTCAGGCCCAAGGCCGAATTGACAGACAATATCCTGCTTGGATTGCTGCAAATCATGTGAAAGCTCCCGACTATTACACAGAACTATGGCAAATCATAGCTATAGTCATAATTCAATATCATCTGGATGAGCGCAAGCCTAGGTGCAAACAAGACAACAACAAAAAGCAAGACAAAAAGCAAGACAAAAAGCAAACCAAAAAGCAAGACAAAAAGAATCGTGAGCTGCTGCCGGAAGAAGAATCTGCCTATGAGACTGCTGTCAAACTGGCCACTGTTTACTTGGACTACTACGAGTCTGCCCAGTGCCCGGAAATAGCGCATATCTATTATCATTGGTTATTACCTGCTCAGATGATTGTTTGTTCTGAGTTAGGAAGATGCGACCCGTCCGAAAAGTGCGCAAAAATTGATGACGCGCATTCTGCACACGCGTGTGCGGCGCTGCTCAAGCACAGGTCGAAATGTTTGCGGCTGCCGTTAACGGAGCGTGTTGAGTCAATTTTGAGTAGTACACGTTATCACCCGTTGACGTCGTTGTGTAGAGTAGCGACAGGTGTTGGCGACAAAGGGGGTCACGTGGGTATAGTGACTTACCGCGGTATATTTGTTGATATAGAGGATCCGGATTTCTTTGGTAAAGCGAAACAATTGGGAATTAGTGGTCAAAACAAGCACATCCACGAGGAGTTGAGAGGCCGCCGAGCGCTGAGACGGGAGCATCGCGCGATGGCTAAGGAAATTAGCAAAGAAGCTAGCGTGGTTGAGAAGTTGGTGTTGCAAGACCAGCAGCGGCACCGCCAGAAACTCGCCCGTGAGAGAAAGCGGGTTGCGCGTGTCCTGGAGCAAGATGATACGGAATTGCGAAAGATGAAGACGTATGGAGGTTCGATGGACACTTCGGTTGCACCATATCGAGCTAAGAAGAAGCAGAAAATTGCGAAGGGTGGATCCCGATAGGGTGCAATGTGTTTCTGATGTTGGGACTCGTACGGTTCGCGTCCTATGTGGCATTAATCAATGCTTGGACACCGGCTGTGGATAAGTACCAAGGTGCCGACCGATATTGGAAACCGGTTATGTTTCACGCATCGGGAAATTTTACCAGCATTTTCCGAAGCCACAAACCTTTACTATTATTGCATGAACATATCTCCAGTAACCTTCCCATGAATTATAACCTTCCCATGAATTATATATAACCTTCCCTTGAATTATAACCTGTTATCTGAATTCTGTTATAACCTGTTATCTGAATTCTAATTCTGTTGTCTGAATGTTCCTTTTTGTAGAGCCTCATTCACCGCAGGCGTTAGGTGCACTAAATCGTTATTTCCCGGTCAAAGGACACGAGAACCGTTCGGTTCTAATTCGTAAGTCGGCGTTGGTTAAGAGCTTGAAATCAGGAAGGCAGATCGTGGCGAACAATAACGAAATGGGTGACGTACCAACCGTGCCCTTACGGTTCCTCAACCAGCCGGACCAGACAGGTTATGAGTTATGGAGCACGACGGCAGGGAAGCTGAGTCCTTTGTTTTCAAGGGGTTATACTCTGCCTGCTAGAGTTGGTAGGGAAATGACGACTTATCGAATAACTGACGACCTGGGAATGATTCATTGCAAATTTCTGGGAGCCGCTGGCGCCTCCATCAGTGGTCAATCCAGTGGTGGCGAGAAAGCCCAGCTGGGTCCGTTTAGTGCAAGAATTGTTCACTGGCTGAAAACTGTTCGTCCAAACCGGACGTTTGTCTGGTTGCTGGATCGAGCTACGAGGAAGCCCCACGATTTACATGAAGCGGCGATTTGCTGGCTGGATGAAAGTGACCAAATGAGTCTTGCAGAATACACTAGAAATCGTGCCCGCGAAATGTATAGTACCACACTTCGGTATGTTGCCAGACTCAGAGCAAATTTAGCCCACATTGTTACTGCCGAAGACACTAGCCCGTACGATCCTGATGCCTCCCACTCTAGCGGTCCTCGTAGACCAGCGTCTTTGCGACCAGATATACCTACCTTCCAAAAAAATGCCGCCAAATGGTCGTACATCATGCTTCGCGACTGGTATGATGATTTCAAGTTCACATTCGACATAGCTGTACAGCTTGTACACTTCCTGGAACGTCATTATTGGTCATTCGGACTCAACGCCTGCATGATATCCGAGGAGCTCATCAATCTATACGGATTCAAACTTTATATGCCCCACAACATGGATTCTTTGTCTGAGCTACGAGGACTGTTTGAACAAGGACCCATTCTCGTGACCAATGCCCCAGAGAATAAATTTAGGCGACGGCACCCCCTTGTACAAGAAAACCTTTCAACGGGTCCAGCGCTCTTGGATACAGTCTTCTCCGATGTTCCCAATGACCCCAAATCTAATGATTCCCACTCCGAATCTAATGATTCCCCGTTCGAATCTAACGAGTCCCGATCTTCTCGGAGGGAGATTGGTAAGGGTACCAGAGGTGGTTTGTTCACTGGGAGTTTGTTACATCCAATTTATGTGGCTCAAAATATAGAGTTGGATTTGGATAGTGTGCTGTACATCTCGCAGTCACCAATAAACTTGTGTCCTTATGGCCTACGGAGTGATGTATACGATCTACTTTCGGTTTTATCTGGACTATGGTTGGATAAGATTTATAGTGCGAATAAATTGCTGGGAAAGCCTGTGGGACCGAAGTCAGATCCATCTCAGACAAATGTGCCGACTGGTATGACTGCGGCCAATCTACTACAGTATGCTGATCTGTTGGGTAAGACACAAGTGTCACCCTGGAAAGAGGTGGCTCAATTCTTCCACCTAGTTCCGCAGTTCCTGACGTCAATAAACATGACGCCCTTCCTTAACGAGATTTTGGATGTTGATGATGACACAACCAGTCACATGATGCGATGCATCGGCGGAGGCGGGACCAAGACCCTTTTTGCCATCGTGGAAGAAGCCAAACAGCCCTCCGTCACCAAACGCCGATCGCGCTACTGGAAAAACGTCCCTCTCGTCAACGAAACCTGCTTCAATACACTACCACCACTCCAACTCACTCACTCAGAACGACTCTACCACCCTCAAGAACTCGTACACCAGTTCGACCCATGGCTACAACAATGGAAACATATCCTAGACGTCATGCACGCACAAGTAGAAAATCTCAAGATGCTTACACACTCTTGTGCTGCATAAAACACACACGTGTGTGCGTCGTTCTCGTCCTGTGGTTTAACCCAGTTTACCTGGCGGTGTGATTGTCTTACCTACTTGACCATAAGCCCTTGTGGTCCGTCATTACCCTCATTGGTTGTTTTTGTTTTTGGATCGAATTTGGTCAGTAAGAAGACTGTGTCCTGTTTGTTTGTCTGTCTGTCTGGTCTGTCTGGTCAGTCTGTCAGCCAGCCAGGAGTATCGTAGAGTCAGCCAGCCAGGAGTATCGTAGAGTCAGCCACTGAGTCAGGAACTCCAGTGGTCAGTCGTTGTGTTTCTGTTGCCAGAGACGTTCTGCTGGGACAGAAAAGTCAAGGCCGGGTTCGCTGGAAGCTTTGGGTGTAGCTGCGAGAATGGCTGCCCCAGCACCGCTACCATCAGTAGCAATGGTGACTTTGATGAGGTCTGCGAGGTCTTTGCCAACGGTTTTTTCAAGTTCCTGGCGGAAGTCTTTCTGGTACTCTGGATTTTTAGTGTAAACTGATCCGTCTATGGCGACTGTGACACCTCCAAGTGCGGGTTGTAGACGGCCAGTACGTTTAGCGAATGTTGCTATGAGACATGACATAATGGCGGCGGAACGACGGCAAGCTGCACGACATAGGTTGTGGCATATCTCCAAGACTTCCCAGGTAAGTTTAACCTCAGGCCATTCAAGTTGCATGCTAAGGGCGTCCCGTGTGTCGCTGAGTTCTTTGGTTTCGTCATAGGCGATGCGCATACATGCATGTGTCGTCATAGAGTTATGTGCCCAAGCCAATGGGGGTGCATCACATTGGAACACTTTGAGAATAAGGCGTCGACAGATCTCCGGTAAGTAAAGACCAGATACCATTTTCTCACAAAGCTGAGCACCCATCGGAGAACTAGCATCATCCACCTCATGGTCAACAATATTTCTTGGCAGTCCCTTTTTCAATGCACCAGCTTCCGTGTTGATAACTGAACCCTGATACAAGTATTGACGGGCATCTGGCTCCACATAGCAAATGTTCATGCCCGTACCGATAATGACACCCACTAGCGCGTCCGGATAGTCTTGCGGTCGAGTATAGGCACCAGCTATCAACGTCCCAGTTGTGTCATTTAAGACTGCCACGGCCTCGGCAGGCACGCTATTCCGGAGTAATGCCTTGTTCAATAATAATACGATGTCCGTGCCCTTCCGCACCACCGGGTCGTTAGTGCTCTGACCTGTCTCAAAACCTTTGCTCATTGACAGAGCCTCCGCACGGTCAATGCCCAACTGATTGATAGCAAACGAAAATGTAAAACCCACCTTATAGAAGGTACCCTTCTCGTCATCCTGTGAACGACGCATTAATTCCAATAACATCAGGGCAATGTGGTCAAATAACTCCGTAGCTGTAGCACCCTTGTCCATTAATCCACGTGGTAAATTCCCTTTCGTTGGTATCTCTCTTATATCTCGAGAGATCTGGTCCAATTCATACTTCCCGTCACCCTTTAGCTCTGTCCGAACACAGCGCAAATTCGTTCCACCGAAATCCACCGCGTAAAACACACCCGTCTCTGTCCCCTTAGGACCACCAGTAACACACGTGTCCAACATGTACAGATCCGACTGACGCGGATCCGCTGCCGACCTCTTACTCTCCAAACCCTGGTTCACATCCACCTGCAAACCACTCATCAATTGCTCACGCGCATAACGGTCCATTTCAAATGAATCCAGATATCTCTACGGAAACAACCATCAGAAATGGACAATACTGCGATCTGAAACGGCCTCTATCTGAAACGGCCTCTATCTGAAACGGCCTCTATCTGAAACGGTCTTTTTCACGAGAATGGTCCATGCCTCGTCGAAGATACAGACAACGTGCCCGGAACGTGCCCGGAACGTGCCCGGAACGTGCCCGGAACGCTCAATGTCCCGCATACCACCACAAACCATCGATCCCTACCGGGGGGCATCGACCCCACAAGCCCAGCCACTGTCTCTTACCTTGTGTCGGTCCTGTAAAGGTTCCCGAACAACCTGCTGGGGCTGGATCTGGGGATAGGGCACTGGATCCGACATTATTGGCACCACGCACGCACGAGTTGTGGGTAAGTCAGGGGAGGCCCAAGGGCACCCGCCCAACCCACCCAACGCGCTACGACGCATTGCTGGGGGTCATCTGAGTTGCAGCAAACCCGCATTCTGGAAAGGCGACTAAATCGGTCCATCTCCTATCGCACCTCATTCCAGTCTTATCGTATAGTATCCTGCAGGGGGTAGGTCTACTCTCTTACCGTTCCACGACTGCCTAATAACTAATCACGCAACATGTTGAGTCGTAGGATAAAAGATGTTTTGTTAAGGGCTACTAGTCCGGTCTCAAAAAGTGTGTGTTTGTACACACACGGTATCTATAAGGCTATTTCACATTATGCCCTCCCCCAAAGAGAGAATTAGCACTCGTGAAATTCAAAATGATCAAAGAGTGTCGTTTCTTTTTTGATTTGGGAAGCAGCAATGGAGGAGAATGGATGAGACGTTCATGTTTCTTTCGATTCTGAGTATGTTCCATAATCACAGGTTCTGGTAGGTCGGCCCGTTCTGAAGGAAGTTGTGTTAGGTCAGCATCTGAAATTGGGATCTCTTCGTCATCTGAAATTGGGATCTCTTCGTCAAGCGTGTGAATGCGAGGGGTAGTCTCTGCATCTGGTCTATGAAACGAGTCGGTCTCTCGCAGGGTTTCGTTCGAAATTGCCTCAGAGTCAATTATTGGCAACAGTCGGATTT